ATGGGGGGGGGGCCTAGAAACATTTTTGCGGGGGGGCCCAGCGGAAGTCCGTTACGCCACTGATAACACACATCTTGCTTATTTTTATTTTTCTGTAGTTGACGGAAATTTGCATGGTGTCGCAACAAATGGAGACAACCACAACAACCGTACTTGTAGAGGTCCACCAAAATAATGAAGACGCGGAGAAAAATAAAGTGAGTCTATGAAAAGCTTGACAGATTTTAAAATCTTCAATCATTGTGATTATAATCTAGCATCAGAAGGCAGACGAACATACACAAGTAGCATTTTTTAACGGAAATATCGCGATATTTTGAAATTAAGTTGCTATTTTTTACGATTTTTCGGCGATTAAATTGCTGGGATCGTCAACATTTTGGCGATTATCCTCGTTCTTGTTGCACTTTTATCTCTGTAAAATAATTGCGTTCGATAAAATCGAAATCTTCTCTCAATTTATCTTGAGTTTTTGATCGATAATGTCGACGTAAATTGCTGTCGATAAAATCGCGATTTTATTGCAATGTTTTTGGGAGGAAATCGCAATGCTTTATTCGATAATATTGAAATAAATCGACATCGATAAAATTATGATACACTCCCTGGTAAAAATTGGCAGTAGAATCTGTGTTCCAAAATACCATAGACCTACAGCCGGCTGTAAGATTTCCATAGCTTCTATAGCCGGCTACACAATTTCTTACAGTCTTTTATAGCCGATGGCGATTAAGCAACAGCTTACCGATAAAGTGTATGCTAAACCTTACTAATTACGGATGATACTTTATCTTATTCATTCATTTTTTCCTTTTTGTTTTCAGAGAAATCAAAATAATAAGTATTTAGATAAAAGTTCTTCAGGGAGCTCATTTTCTGGTAGTAGTATGACTAGCCTCAGTAGTGCCATTAGTCAAGAGATACAAAGGAGATCAGAGGTAAGTGCAGTTCCCCTCCTTACAGTCTATAAAACACAGAACAATGTATTTACAGTATACAGTGTGTCTTTTGCAAACTTTTGGGCGAATTTTCATATTGATTGAAACAAAACTTGCATTTACAAGTATTTTGAGATACTCACTCTAAATTTTAAGATCGCAACCCAAGTAGCGTAGTGCAACGGAAATTCTAAAATAATTTTGAAAATCAATGCAACAAAATTGCAAATTTTTCGTATCAAATTGCAATATTTTTACATCGCCTGAGTAGATGCCGATTTTTAAAAAAAAAAAATCCATAGAAAATGAGTTCTATGTGTAAGAACGGCGGTGAGCAAGTTCAAATGCAAAATGAATTGTAACTTATTTCAATTTTATTGCAAGAAACAATGGAGGAAGCCGCTTCAATTAGTGTGTAGACAACATTCACCACACTGCTAAATAATTGCAAGAACTTGTTTCTTTAATTTCAATTAATTTCACCATGTGCTACTTGAGAAGTTTTTTTTTCTTTCTTTTTTAAAGAAAAAAAGGAGGTACCCAAATCTTTGTCTTTTCATTAATTTTTTAAAAGAAAGACAACTAGGTATCTAATTCTAGGCGGCGGTAGCCACCCCGGCCCAATCCAAAAAAAAAAAAAAAAAAAAAAAAAAAAAAAAAAAAAAAAAAAAAAAAAAAAAAAAAAAANAAAAAAAAAAAAAAAAAAAAGACTGGTGGCTGCTGCCTAACTAGATTTACACGAAACATAAAATTAACATAAAGTTTCCTTTAACATGCTTGTGCTTGGTCAGATATGTTTGCCATGATAATATTATGCTGTCGAAACTGCGAAATATTCGGAGTAAAAAATTGATTATTTCTTGA